GATTTTTGTTATTGACATTTATTTCTATGCAGTATACAGATTTATCAATGTCAATTTATACTGCTGTTTATCATATCCACTGCTATGATCTGCTATGTATCATTTCAATATATATATATATTATATATAAAACTAGTTACATCAATCTACATATACATATACATATACATATACATATTTATATATAATGTTCATGTTTGTTTTATCCATGGCTGTTTCTTCATATCACCATGCAGTTATGCACTCCTTCCGCCCCGACCTCGACCGATTTGCTGGGACGCTGAGGAACGTCCTCTCCAAAGTGCATGTTGACACAGCCTCCAGCGGCGTTGGCGAAGGGGGCAAGGTGCGGAGACAAAAAGCGCAATTTTGATGACTTCCTACCAGACATGGGGGCAGTGAAATATACATCATATTTTTTTCAAACATGGCTTCTCAGATATTTGCAATATTTTACAATCTATGTTTCAAGCATATAATGAAATGATGTGAATATGGGGAAAAGCCAGATCCACAACAATTTCAACATGGAATATTTGTCCAAAAAATGGTGGATTTACGTCCAATTCATGGCCGCTAAGTAATGGTCAAACGCTTCTTTTCCACCATGAAATTTGGGGTACCTTATGTTCAGACAGTCCGACCATGATCATTGTTCATCATTGTTCCATGTGTGTATATATATAATTATGTATATATATAATTATGTATATATACACATATAATTATACATATATATACACATAATTATACAATATATATATATACATGTATACATTATATAGATGTATTGCGTACCACTAAGAAACGACTATTTGAAGGAGTAATGACGGCAGTGTCAAAATCGTAAACCCCAACGACTCAAGAATCACGCATTGTATCTCATTGCATACTACTGAATGACATTCAATGTTTCTAATGATTGACATTCAATCAAGTCTGATCCTTGGCATTCAATATGTGATTATATTTCATGTTCATTCTCTCAACACATTGTTGGACACTTTTGATCCATGTTCTTGTCAATGTGTTTGTCCATTGAGGACTGCCATTGTTGCACTTGGTACTGGTTGGTGGTATGAAGTGTGCTTCTTTTTACCTTACCTGGAACGATCCTCCAATGACATTATCACCAGGAGTGGCTTTCTTGAAGTTGCTTCACACTGTGCCTACCCTGAAAGCCTGACAACCTGTACTGTATCTAGTCTTGGTATATTCTGCTACATCAACCGAGCAGCCCTACTGCAGAATGCTGTTTTGACACCGCCATGATGTCCCAGCATCACCCTGCAGTTGAGACATGAACTGGAGTTTTACGGCTTGATGGATGCACATGCTTTCAAGCACTCAGCCACTTGGATGGTGAGTGGTTTATGTTGAAGCTTCTTGTTGTCCCCAAAAATTAGAGAAACAATACAGTAAACCTCCCTTCAAAAAAAGCATTCATACATGTTGCATACTATATATATATATATGTACATACACATAGTCTCCTTATTTTTTTCTGGAACCCTGGTAGGGAACACTATTTTTCAGGGGTAGCCGCGGGACTGGTCTCAGCCCATCCCATTTTTGAATCTTCTTCGCTTCAGCAAGGAACATGCTATGTAAGAACATGTTCTTACATACCCCGGGCCATTTAGGCCCAAATGGCATTAATGTGGTTACAACAATCATATAAACTACCCATGGCTGGCAATGGTAAACATACCACCTATAAACATGGTGATGACTGGGGAAGTTAATGGCATTGTTTTACCCACATTCCTGCAGATTCAGCCACATTACTGGCCCAGTCTGATTTGTTCGAATTTTTAAATGTCAAAACCCAGGGTACCCATTAATATAATGGTTAATATAATGGTTATTATAATTTGGTTGGTGGTTTCAAACATGACTTTTATTTTCCATCATATTTGGGATGTCATCCTTCCCATTGACTCATATTTTTCAAGATGGTTATTGCACCACCAACCAGCAGTAAATCTGAGGAGTGGCAGGATTACAACACCCGTAGAAACTACGGATCTCAGCATTTGTGAAACATAAATCGTTGTGTGGATTCATTACTAATCCATATCAATCCCATCTTATCATATCTTATTTACAGATTATATGTATATGTAGCATGTTTATTTATCTTTGGATGGCACCATTGGGGATTGATCAATTGATCAATTGAAACTATAACTTGATTCATAAAATGGTTCTAATTCGCCCACGGTGGGTCCATGGATCTTTGGCTGACATGAGACATGAATGTGGGAATCCCCGCGAAAGAACACTTCCCATTTTTGGTTGTAGCATGCTCCAAATGGTCCTGGCCAAGACATCATGAGTTTCGGCCATCCCTCATTGATACGGATTTATATATATATGTATATACCCATGGGATTCCCATTTATTGGATGCATGACATATAAACCTATATATATATATATACACATATATCACTGGGAATTTCAGGATCCTAAAATGGAGGTACTGTACCATATAAGGCCATATGTTGTGGGGATATTACCTTACATAGGCCTTATATAGGCCTTATACATGGTAGGTACCTCCAATTTAAAATGGCCATTGAATATATATATATATAAGGTTTTGAAAGGTGTTAACCATGGCACAACTGATCATTGGTATGTCATGGGTCACTATGATTTGGTTGGCATAGATCCCTTATATCCCATTATATGCCCACAGGTTGATGATTAATCACCCATGATGTGATGGTGATGCTGAAATCATCCTAGATTCCTATTTCTGATGGTTCAAAATCTATGTTTGCGCGTGAAATCCCCTCACTTGGATGGTGAAATCCCAAGTGTTCATGGTTTAATCCTTTTCAATCCCTGGTTGCACCGTGAACTCCCTCCTTTTCCCATCGCCCCATCGCCCGAGGTGTGGGCCATGAAACGCCGCGTGGCGCCCAGCGGGGCCCAGGTGCCGATGGGCGGCTTGGCTCCGCCCAACCAGCAGGACATGCAGACGACGCTGCTCACGGAGCCGCAGGGGATGGGGAGATGGTCGCCATATGTCGCCATGGCACAAAACACACGGGGGCTACCCTCTGGTAATTTAACATAGCTATTGAAAATGGCTATTTATGGTGGATTTTCCCATTAAGAATGGTGATTTTCCATAGTTATGTTAGTTTACCAGAGGGTACACCGGAGTTGTGATGCGGGGATGGGTCAAAACGGTCAATGAACATCAAGGGATGACGGGATTATGGGATGATGGGATGGGATGATCGGCATCGGAAAAACAACCACAATTGTCAGATTCAGCAACTTCGAATCATGTTTTCGACGCTGGGAATTTGTCCAACGGGGCATCAAATCATAGGGAACTTGTGATAAAAAAGGGGTTATGATACAGTAAAGGTCAAATGAGTTAAATGTGACATATATCAATGCTTTCAAACTAGGATTTCAGCAATCCTATCTTTTTTGGGCAATTATTTGTTATGCCCGATCTTTTGCCAGACCGTCACATTCTCAGATCATTTCTGCAGGAGATCCGGGATGAGCTCAGGCTCTTGAATCAGAAGATGGAGAAGAAATGAGCCTTGCCACTGCTAAGTAATTCCTTCTCCCTGATATTAAGCAGAATTGAACCAATATTAGGAACCAATTGGGGGATGTTTAGTATCAGGGGGATGGGACTGTGACTTTAGTTTGATTATCATCATTGAAAAAAAACAACAGAGATGACATGAATGAGATGAAGTCAGACTCTTGAAAACCAAGCACTGCCTTATTTATGTGGTTTCATAGGATATTTCAATGGGTATGTGTACCAATAAAAACATGGATACGTTCTAGTATTGACAAAGTTATATATATCACAAAGTAAGGGGTATTACAACTGGGTACTGGTCAACAAGAAAGTGATTGAGCAACGACAAAACCGGAATTTAGCACTAGTTTTAAACAACAAAAGAGCATGATCATTCATGGCGAGTACTTCACCTACAAAGGGTGCATCTCCGAGTGGAAGCTCCCCCTTTTTGTGGTCCCTTTGCTCTGGTTTCGATCATTCTAGGCACTGGCTTGTAGGACCTATGACGTTGGAGATGGTGGGAGTGCAGAAATGATAGCGCAGCACATTGGTATGCATATATTATCATATACTGTACATATAGTATTATATAGCTATAGTTATATATATATATACGTTTTACATATGTATAATATATACGGTATAATATATATATATATATAATATAATGTATATATCATATATGATAATATATATATAATATATTATATATTATATATAATATTAATAATATATTATATATACACAATATATATATATGATATATATATAATATATATATATATATGATATAATATATATATGATATATAATATACTTTATAATATATATATATAATATGATATATAATATACATATTATATAAAATATATAGTAGTATTAATATATATATATATATATGAACGAGAGACTTTCAGGTACTATTTTGTTGCTTTGCTCTCCTCCGTTTTATTTCTTTTGAATTAATTTAGTTAAACTTATGCATTCAATTAATCTAATTAATCTAATTATTTCAGTTAATTTAATTAGTCTAATTAGTTTAATTAATTTAAACATTTATCTAATTAATCTGAAAAATGAATCAAATCATGGAATTTTGTGGTTTCCCACCATCTCTGCGGTCCCTATCCCGGACTTTTGCAAAGCAGGCGAGATAATGGGATGTCCGCGGTGGCTCCCATGGCACCCATATGCATTACCTGTTTGAAGCGCACCTGAATAGATATGCTGTGCCCCAAACCAGTCCTGAGTTCCATACGTTCAGAGTGGCTCTTAGCGAAATGCCGGGGTGGCGGGCATATCGCACCGAGACTTCCATGCGTAACATGCTGCCTCCCTTGGATCATGTGCCAGACCGTGCTGGGTTTCATTATAGGCTGCAGTTGAACACGTATAAATGATTGATTGAAAAGTATTGCGGTTTCACAGTATCCAAGATGCTCGCGGTGCGCGCCCACCCAGACGACCAAACGCAACCTTTCATCGACGAGGTCCCCTGCATGCAGCCAGAGGTTCGAAGCATGCTGGCTTTCTGGCAGAAGGATATGCGTGGGGGTTCTTCGCAAGAAGATGGTTTGGATGTGCGTATCAACAAAGAACGTCAAGACATGGAACTGGAAGCCCAGCTTGAGCTTGAGAACCCTGATCTAGAGGAAGACATTGAAATTTTGGCAACACTGCTTGCAGGTGACCTTCATAGCCCTGCCCCGGCTGGCACTGCTGATGCCCGCGATTCTGCCCATGATCGGTTGAAAAAACGGAGACTCACGAAAGGAGCTGCGCAGAGCGCGCAGGTTTTTCAGCGCATTTTCAAGTCATATGATGATTTGAACTGCAATCGCCTCACAAGTGACCTACGTGACGTGACGTGACAGTTTGGTTCGTTTGGGGGCTGCTGCCAGTCATGCGCGTTGAACCGGACTGGTTCGCGTATGTTCATTGGTGAACATGCCTTCTTTTTGTTGCTCATTGAAGGCGGTAAATACATCCGTGTCCATGGGGGATTTTGCTACAACTACAACGGGAATGGTGCTTTTTAGCCTTACTCAAGGATTTCCACCACAAGCACTTCTGTTCCGCATGTGCAAACTCGCACTCAGCTGGAAGGCGTCTTTAGACGGATGAGCCCTGGCACCCCAAGAACAGAAGAGGCAACCCTGAGAGCCTTAGCTTCTGACCTGGCTCCCTTTTGTATTCCTTCACTCTTCCTTGAAGCGTGCGTAAAGGCATTTGTGTTCAATCAAAAGCCTGGGGATGCCTTTGGTGAACGCTTGGATGAAGAAGCATCTGGAGACGAAGCTCAGCCTGACATGGCTGACGCGGGTGGACACCAAGACAATGCTTGGACATGCTTGGACAATGGCCTTGGCCCAAACTGTGTGGAAATTATGCCAATCTTTGCGTGGCGACATGATGCATGACAAGCTGATCTCCTTGATTGTTGAATGGTGCCAAACTCCACCATCGTGCGACAAGTGTGTAGCGTATATATGGATACCTGTGCCAAGTATGATACAAGCCAAGAACGGCCAGTACAGCACAGTGCAAAATCTTCTAGAAACAATTGCTACATATTAGGCTGTGTTTTTTTGGAACGTGTGCAGATTTTAGAAAAGGCATGATTTTCGAGTCGTGCGAATCATACTCCCGAATCATACCCCAAATCATGCCCCGAATCATACCCCCAAAAATAATGATTATGAATGTTTCTTTTTGGATTGTTTGGGATTGCATTGGCCTCACTAGTTTTCAAAAAATAGGCCTGACAAGCTAATTGACCAGTGTTGGCCAGATCCGATGATCCTTGGCTACCTTCACATTCCTTCACGACATGAGTGCTACGCGCACATCATTATCCCTAAGCTGGCTGACTCTGGCTGGCTGGCTAGGTGGCTGGCTACTGGCGGCAGGCTGGCTGCGTGGCTGGGAGGTGGCTATGGCAGTTGCTGGCTGTGGCTAGCTAAAGTCAAGGTTGACATGCTTCCTGTGCTGTCTGATGAGGCTGATGAGGGTGATGAGGAGGATGACTCCGGCTGTGGCTGGCTGGCTGGCAGCCAAATTCAGCCAAACCAAAAATCCATCGAAGAGGAACAGTAGCCTAAGCGTAGCTGAGCGAAAGGTACATCAGACGAAGAACATCCAGAAGACACGCCGGCAGGCCCGGATATAAATCATAGATGTGCATTTAGATCTTCGTATTCTTCATATTCAGGTCCGGTCCAAGGTCGTTTGGCAGGTCGAGCGCCATTGCAGCCATTAAGTAGCAATCGTTGTAGGTTGACGGTGGGAAAAAGAGACTCAAGCAACAAAGCTTCGTGAATCCCAAAAAAATGGGTTCCCGAATCATGCCCGAATCATAAACTTCCCAAGTCTGAACCTTGGTACACTTGCAAGATCAGAACTTGTGTTTTAAAGAGGATAAATCTTTTCTTCGCAACCACTCGCCACGCTCTACGCCTCCTGCTGCTTCTGAGAAAAATCCGACAGCAGCATCCGGGCAAGAAACATGCCAACTCCAAAGCGCACACACCACTTTAACTGCAGCACCTTGAAGCAGCACCCTGCTGCGGCACCGCAGGCCAGCTCCAGAGCGGACACGCCACTCTAACAGCTGCACCCTGCAGCAGCAACAGCGTGTAGCAGCACCCTTCACTAGCACCCTTGCAGCACGAGTTGGGTACATTACGTACCCCCCTTGCAGCACCCTCAAGCATCACCTTTGCAGCAGCACAGCACCCTCACCGGCATCCGCTCACCAGCATGCCCGCTCCAAAGCATGGTTTAAAGGACACACGCCACTCTGATAGCAGCACCTTCAAGCATCACTTTCAGGCAGCACCTGCAGCAGCACCAGAGTGAGAGCCACCAGCATGCCCGCTCCAAACTGCACACAGCAATCTGACAGCAAGCAGCACCCTGCACCAGCAGGTTGCAGCGGCACTCCAACGGCACCACCATGCCCGCTCCAAAGCGCTCACACCACTCTGACAGCAGCATGCACAACGGCAACAGCATGCCAGCTTCAAAGCGCTCCACGTATGGTATAATTATTTTCCTTTGAAACATTTTGGTGGTAACTGGTAACTGTGGGTAAATAACCCTACATGTGGGATGTAGGGAAACACTAAATCAAGGACCGCGAATCATACCTGCGCATCATACCCCGAATCACACCCACAAATCATACCCCCTAGACAAACATCCCAGACTGCATGCGGCATTTTGAGACATACCCATATGCATTCCGCGCCCGTTGCTGGACCCTGTGTTGGGAGCTCAGGTTGGACGACTGCGTAAATTCTATTCTCAGGCTTTCTGGGCGAATCATGATGTCTTCCTGTGCCACCAAGAAAAGCCTTGGCGTTAGCAAAGCGCAGGTTGAACGTTGACCGTTGCTTGTTGGAGTGTCGCCTGGAGGCGTCGGGCTCCTCACATCTAGGCAGCATGTTGGGTCACAACCACGGCTTATTTGATCCCAACGTCTGGTTCAACAAGGATGAGCTTCGCCAGCAAGTAGAGTCTTTTGCCAGGTGCATTGTCATCACCAAACAGGAGGCACCAGAGTCCACAAGAAAATGCACATTGATCTTTTCAAGAAGACAGTCTCCGGGGATGGCATTGCTGGCCGAAACCCATATGGGTACACAACACGTATGTTCTCCATAGTGGGGTGGAAGCGCTTGGAAGTCAATCGGATGATGCAATTTGCCGGCATTGATTCCAAATTTCAATCTGCCTTCAGACGCGCTCTTATGCGCAAGCCAAAGGCTCGCTTTCATCACCAGACAACCCTTCATCATTTGCATGAAGACCATGAACTCGATGGGAGCTTCGTGGCAGACCCTACTTGGAAGCAATTCTTGATCAGCGGCCCTGCGTGTGCTGCAGGACTGAAGGTTCAACATGCTGTTGAATGTCAGTATGGCCAAGAGCAGTGCCTCAAGATGATTGATGACCATGCCACAGGAGGTGATGGCTTTCTAGCAGGACAAAATGAGAGAGTCTTGCGGACTGAAGCTACGCGTGTGCCAGAGTGCAGTTGATGCTGGCGCGGGTGTTTTCCCGGAGATTGAAAGTAGCCAAGCGGTTCGGGACGAGGAGGAATTGAAGTTTGAAAATCTGCGGATAGGCATCATGGAGTCTTTGCTGCAAAATGCAAAATCTGACTTTTCCTTCTTCGAGTTTCCAAATCAGAATTTTCGGGTGCAGACAGTTTAGCTGATATACTTTTCTATCTTTTAGTGTGTTACCTGTAGAGCAAGACTGCAGATTTAAAATAATCAATATTAGTAGATTTAACTGTAGGTGTTTCCACATTATGTACCCCGATTAATGGGTAAGTCATCCAAACCATGATTGAACAGTATTAGCTATGATTAACCATAAATTTGCCATTATTAACCACTATTAGCCACCATTAACTACCGAGAGTGAGGACATTTTACATTAATAGTAGCCACGAATCACCATTAATCACCATTATCAACCACTAATAACCATTATATAACCACCACTACCAGTAGTACCGCACAAGGCGGTGGCGGAAGTTTCAAAAATAGGAAACCTATAGGAGAGGTTGGTTGTTGTGAATCAGGGATGGCAGGGCGAAGCCACTGATTGACCGAAAAGTGGTTGGAGTTGTGATTGCTGGAGTGGTTGCAATGGTTGCAGTGGTCACCTCACCCACAACTGCTGGATGTAGTGTGATGTACTGCAACTGTAGTTGTAGTTGTAGCGTA